GAGGGGTGGAGCCAGTCATGGGATGTGGAGAGAAGAAGATAGACAGGGAAAGGGGCGGGGCTGAGGTGAGAGAAGAAGATCTCATTTAGGGGGCGGGACCGGAGGTGCTAGAAGATTCTAAGCTCTTCTTGCACACAGACGGAGTGTGATATGATGATATTGCCATTTAGGTGTACGGATGAAAAAAGCACTGACCTTATAAATGATTGCTGCTGATTACTGTGAAGGCATAATGGAAAGCGGCATGATTTTATTGTATACAGGAATACAGCTCATGAGATTTAGAGAAGGAATGTACAGTATTTCGCATGTTACTTGCACACATGGCTAACACTTTTTTAAATGCAAAGCCCACGTGTCACAAAAAATAATGCACACACATTAATACAGGAAAATAATATATTTATTAAATGTTTGCAGTTGAGCCTGCAAACCATTGCAAGTGTAATAAGATTGAAAGCAGGCAGGGGCGGGTTTCATAGCCAGATTATTGTCCATGACCCATTGCACACCTGACGGATAAGTCCCTGGAAAGTGATTAACGGATGCCGAAACTCCAAATTTCTTAATCAATACGTCTTTATTTGATGCATAATCAAAGTATCACATAATTGACGTTTTAGGGTGGCACGGGTCCCTTTATCAGGAAAAACAGTGTTTTGCCTGATGAAGGGACCCTGCAGGGCCCTGGAAACGTCACAATTATGTGATACTTTAATTATAGGTCAAATAAAGACGTATTGATTAAGGAATTTGGAGTGCCGGTGACTTATCTTCTAGGATTTCATAGCCAGCCACATCATGATGTCAGCCATCATCCCTGACTTATTTGCATTCAAGAGGAGCTTTACCCACCAATTTAACATTTACTTCGAGGGCTTGTTCACACCATGTCTGGATCATGTCTAGACCAGTACAGCTTGTTCCTGGACCAAATAAAGCATCCCAATGTATCCCTGTGGTATTTCTGGGCTCTGTTCACATCAGCGCAGTCCATTCCGGACCAGACAAAAAAGTTACCGCTTGACTCATTTTCTCTAGTCTGGAATGCACTGGAAATGTATCAAAAACGCATGCAAACGCACTGGACCGCTACTGAAAGCCCATATTAAGCTAAGGAACAAAAAGAAAAACGCTCCAGAACGCAGCAAAATTGCGGTAAAAACGCAGTGCACCGCATTTCAGATCCGGTCCAGATCTGGTCCGGAAAATGGTGTGAACCTGGCCTCAAGGCATGCCAATTGTCCAGGTGGCCAGTGAGCTTTTTTCAGCTCTCAATCGAACTTTTGAGCCCTCAAATGACTGCTAAAGTCATAGTTGATCACATGTGCAGCACCTTGGCAAACCAAAAAAAAGCTAAGGTGGCACCTAAAGGATAGGAGGGTGTACTTCAGCTGGGGAATCTCGCAGCCGAAACCTAAATAGTGTGGGGGATTGATAATTGGCTCCTAGGATACCGGCAGCCTGATATCCTAGTAATCAATGAACAGGACGCTGTCACATTCATGAGAGCTTCCCATGGCCCACTTTGACCACTGGCATCTCTCCGTGTGCTCGATCAGAGTTGGTCTTAAAGAGGAACTCTAGGACTGTAAAAATTTACCCCGGCACTGCAAGGGTTAATGTCTAAGAGCTCAATTTAAAAAAATGTACTCACCGGATCCTTGATCCCGTCTGGCTGATAGACCGGTCCCTGCAGCCTCTTCTCTCCTGGGCTCCGACGGTCTAAGATCCGCTGACATCATCACGTCTAATGCAGTCCATTCCATTCACTTGCAATAGACGTGAGCACTCAGAGGGATATGCCATTGCTGGAGCAGAGGGGGAGAGAAGAGAGCACTCACTACCATAGGATCGAGGAACAGGTAAGTATATTTTTCTGTATTGTAGATCCTAGAGAAAAACAAGCAGTTAACCCTTGCAGTGCGAGGATAGTCTCACTGGAAGGGTTAACACTGTACATTCCAAGAGTTCTTCTTTAATTATCACCAGTTTTCTCATTTTTAAACTGGTAGTAGTTTGTTTTCAATCTATTGCAGCCATAGCAAAAGATTCCTAAAATGGCACAATTAACAAATACTTGAATCAGTTGCTAATGTTAGTAAAGTATCTGAAACTGGCAAAAGGGCTTTTTGAGTTTGGCACAGAACCATTTAAAGCGGACCTTTACCCATATCTTTAAAATAACAACAAAGACACCTTTAGAAATGTTTAGTAATGACAATGTACAAACACATACTTCTAGATAATTGGCGGCTTTGTATTCTTTGCATACCTTGTTTCTCTTTTCTTCCCCAGTCTTCTGTCAGTGGCCATGTTTACTAAGGGCAGATTACTAGATCTCCTATTACTTCCTGGAACTCTGGCACATGTGACTAGGACATGTGACCATGCACATCATCTCAGGGGAGGAAAATGCCTCTCCCTGAGATCTCATGAGATTACAGATGAGATTTCCCAGCAATGCTCTGCTGACAATCCCAGTGTGCATTGCATTAGCAATCTGAAGTCATTTTGCCCTTTCAAAGCAGGAAGTGAATGCTCTGCAAGTATTTCAAAATCACAGCATTTTCCACCTGACATGTCTATGTTATTATTAATCATCATACATAGAGGGACGCATGGGTAGAATGTGATTTTTGAGTGCAAAGGTCCGCTTTAAAGGCCTGAAGTGCTAGAAAAGTGGTGCAAAGCAATTATTGAATTCCTCCCTATGTTCTTAGTTTGAGAATAACACCTTGATTTATCCAGAGTTTGTCCCAACTGCCACTCCATGCTTCATAATTGGGTGTTTGTAGCAATTACATATGCAGGTTGCTGTTCATTAAACTGCTCTTTTGTATTATATGTGATATAATTGGATGAGTTTGATTGCTGGGTCTTTGTAGACTTCTATGTGACCGTCTCCCAAGCATATACACTATATTATCAAAAGTATTGGGAGCAGTGGCGTCACAAGGGGGGTGCGGCCCACACCCGGGTGCCACCATTGGAGGGGTGACATCAAAATGACTCACAGTCATTTTGGTGTCACCCCCCTCTGAAAAGTCGGGCGCTCGCTCATGGACCAAGAGCCTGACTGTGTCAGGAGAGAGGAGGGGACCCGGCGGCATACCTTATCCTGCCGGGTGACTCTCCCCTCCAATCTCTGCCGGCGTCCATCACCAGTGACGTCTCGGTGGGGTGACACTCGGTTACCGCTCCGGGTGTCACCCAGCCTTGGGACGCCCCTGTTGGGACCTCTGCCTTTACACGCACATGAACTTTAATGGCATCCCAGTCTTAGTCCGTAGGGTTCAATATTGAGTTGGCCCACCCTTTGCCGCTATAACAGCTTCATCTCTTCTGGGAAGGCGTCCACAAGGTTTAGGAGTGTGTCTATGGGAATGTTGGACCATTTGTGAGGTCAGGTACTGAAGTTGGAGGAGAAGGCCGGACTCGCAGTCTCCCCTCTAATTCATCCCAAAGGTGTTCTATCGGGTTGAGGACTCTGTGCAGGCCAGTCAAGTTCCTCCACCCCAAACTCGCTCATCCATGTCTTTATGGACCTTGCTTTGTGCACTGGTGCACAGTCATGTTGGAACAGGAAGGGACCATCCCCAAACTGTTCCCACAAAGTAGGGAGGATGAAATTGTCCAAAATGTCTTGGTATGCTGATGCCTTAAAGTGACATTAAACCCTCAGATTTTTTTAACATAAAACAATAGTGTAATGTGTGCCTTACTGTAATCCATGGTTGTTTCCCTTCTCTTTGCTGCTCTTCCTTTTAAATCTGTATCTGTTCTCTTGCTGGGCAGAACTTCTGTTTTGCAGCAGACTGCCTTGTCTCAGGAATGGATACCCGGTGTCTGTGTATAGGTTTGTATAGGTTTGTAACCTGAGCCAGCACTACAGGAAGAGGCCCTGAGCTGCAAAGGGAAGTTTTCCCCAAGCATGAGAAGACATGCTTGGGGAGGAAGAAATTAAAAGGAAGAGGAATTAAAAGGAAGAGCAGCAAAGAGAAGGGAAACTACCATGGATTACAGTAAGGCACACATTACAGTATTGGTTTATGTTAAAAAATCAGAGGGTTTAATGTCACTTTAAGAGTTCCCTTCACTGGAACTAAGGGGCCAAGCCCAACCCCTGAAAAACAACCCCACACTATAATCCCGCCTCCACCAAACTTTACACTTGGCACAATGCAGTCAGGCAAGTACCATTCTCCTGGCAAACGCCAAACCCAGACACGTCCATCAGATTGCCAGACAGAGAAGCGTGATTCGTCACTCCAGAGGACACGTCTCCACTTCTCTAGAGTCCAGTGACGGCGTGCTTGACACCACTGCGTCCGACACTTTGCATTGCACTTGGTGATGTAAGGCTTGGATGTTGACTGCGAAATATTTAGTAGCAAGGAAAATTCACAGAACACCTGAATCCAATGATTTGGGGAGGTGTCCAATACTTTTGGTAATATAGTGCAGGGCTCAAAATTTCCACTCGCCCCCTCGCAAATTGCGAGTGAAAATTGCGTGGGGGCGAGTGGAAATTAAGCCATTGAGTCAGGCACTCCTTGGGGCGGCTTCTCTCCTCCTCACCGACATGATGACAGCAGCAGTTCCCATAGATGTCTATGTGAAGCCAGGGCAAAAGTGGAAATACACTTTAAAAGTATTCTCATTAGCTTATGTCCAAGCATATTAAGTACTTGTGCCAATGGGCAGATGCAATCTACCTGCGTTTGAGATCAGTCTGAAATGCTTCTGATACCACTCACATTTTTTGGACCTGCAATTGCAATAGCATCAACTGCTTTTGCATTCTTATTGACTTGTATAGGAAGAGAAGCAGTTTTGACATG